TAAATATATATATATATTATATATATATATATATATATATATATATATATATATATTTTATAGGTATAGGTGTTTATATATAAATTTATATATATAAATGTGTGTGTGCGCGTGTAAATATATATGTATATACATTTATTAATATTATTATTTATTTACTTTTACATTTTTGTGTGTGTTGAAACCAGGATACATAGTTAAGTAATTTTTAAATGTTTGTAATTTTTAAATTTTAAAATTAAGTTGTAATTGTCTTTATTTGCTGTCATCTTTAATCAATTTAACTTCTCCTGTTTGTGTAAAAATAAAAAAATAAAAAACTGTACAATGTGCAATGTTTTCATTCATTCATTTTCCTTCAGCTTAGTCCCTTATTTATCAGGGGTTGCCACACCGGAATGAACCACCAATTATTCCAGCATATGTTTTATGCAATGGATGCCCTTCCAGTCGCAACCCAGTACTAGGAAACACCCATACACTCTCACATTCACACACTCATACCCTATGGCCAATTTAGTTAATCTAATTCACCTCTAGCTCTTGTCTTTAGACTGCGGGGGAAACCCACATCACACAGGTAAAACATGCAAACTCCACACCGAAATGCCAGCTGGCCCAGCTGGGACTCGAACCCACGACATTCTTGCTGTGAGGCGACAGTGCTAACCACTGAGCCACCGTGCCGCCCTGTGCTGTGTTTTGTAAAGTGTAAAACCTTTCTGAACTGATGTATGCTTGGCAGTTTTTCTTGTGGGGTTGAGCTGTAGGTGCCTGGTGCGAGTATATGGTCAATAATGAGACACACACTGTCATGATGTCAGTGGATGTTACATGAGCAGTGATGTGGTATTGACACGCATCAGTTATCACACCTGACCCAATGTGACAGCCATCTCATCTTAACCTGAGAAGTGTGTGTGTGTGTCTGTCGCTCTCACACACACATTCACCTTGACCAGTGAGAGGTGTCTGTCTGAAAGCCAATGAGAATCTTTTACACTGCCTTACTTGGGTGGGTTTATGTTGTCAAAAAGTGAAAAGATGCTAGTTTGTGGCACCACCATCACTGATCCAAAGTCACGATCAGCAAAACAATTGACTGAACGTAAAATGCTGAATCAAATACTGTTGAAAAAACAACACAGGCTCATTCTGTAAACGTAGTCCTGTGGACGTTTCTGGAGACTGCGAATTATATAGCCGGAGGTACGTAATTTTTTTTAAGTGAACGCTGCGGGGCGATATGACGATGTTCGTTTTAGGGCTTACCGGCTGACCACTTACCTCTGTGTGGAGGGCTTTCCCACCGCAACCAGTTTTTCCTGTTAGCTCATCGTGTACGTTGACGGATTTGAGACACAGAGGGGAGTTGACGACAAGGACCGGGTTCGATTCCGGGGATGAGTGGTTCCAGAAATCAGTTAAGACAAAAACAACAAAATGAATGAGTGAACAACAGGGGGACAATGTGGTAAAATCCGAAAACATGGTAAAAATCAGATGAGGGCTTTTCTTTTTCTGGGCAGCTTTTGTAAATTGTCAGCTGAGTTTAGGGAGGTAAGAGGGCAGGCGGGTCAATGGGTAAAATTGGTTGGGTTTAGGGAAGGAGGAGGGTGGGTCGGTCGGTTGGCCGGACAGCCAGTCAATCATTCAGTCGTTCGACACCCGTCTCTGCAGGGTTTACGCGAGAACAGCGCAGGCGCAAACGGCACTCACGAGAGGCATTTGAGACACGAAAAAGCGCACACAGTGGCCTCTCACAGTGGATAAAGTTTATCTTACTCAGTTGTGTGCACATGTTTTTTAATGTGCGTTTTCAAAATTTAATGCACATCTTGGCATTCCCATTAAGCAGTTTTATGGGATATTTCAAAATGCCAATAAAAATAGCTGGATGGAAATATAGCTACTGACAATTTTCTGAATGTCTGGTTGCCAAATGCCATCTAAACACAAATAACAGAAGCTTATTCTTAAAAAAATGTAATTTTTTTCTTTCAGCCTGAGGCATCAACATACTTCAGTGTTGATTGTTTACTTTATTGTGCTCTTGTTTATTATTATTACTCCACCTCTAGCACAGATTTTGCATTACTATTCTGCTGTTTCATTGGCAAGAATCAAAATCACGGCCCTTTAATCTTGGCACTAGAAGACAGTTTAGCACTTATTTGTCCTTGTCTTCTCTCAGCAGTAAACTGAAACCCTCCCAGAGTAACCAGTGTCATATCGTGTCAGTTGAGCTGTCAGATGTTCAGGTTTTGTATGATTTGATTTGTCGGTCAGTTAAATTAAATCCGGCTTGTCAGCTTTCATGTCTCAACATGTCAGTTCCAAATAGCGCAACAGCGGATAGATGCTGGACGGGCTAATATACTCGACATCAAACCCCTCGTATATGCTTATAATCCATTCATGAAGTCAATTGTTCTGACCGGATGTCACTTGTGCCTTTTGATCCTATTAGTGAATCCAATTCATCTGCGGCCGCTTGTCAAATCTCTGTCATAGATTATAATGTAAACGCTATCTGTGTCAGTCAGGTAGTTATTGTTGCTGATGTTATCTTGTTTGCTGTTATTGTAACTGTATTACTTATTCTACTATTTCTGTATGAATTATTAGGGTTATATATACAGTAAGTCTTAAGTAGTTGTGGTTTGAGAAACATAACGGCTAAAAATGGTAACCCATACTGATAGTGTGTACTCAGTGCTCTGCATTTTTAGTGCACACACAAAGCAGTGAGTAGTAAACAGACAAAGGGCATGTAAACCACCTTAACAGTGCAATACCTAGGTCAGGGGTCACCAGTCCTGGTCATGAAGGGCCGGTGTCCCTGCAGGGTTTAGCTCCAACTTGCCTCAACACAACTGTCCGGATGTTTCAAGTACACCTAGTAAGACCTTGATTAGCTTGCTCAGGTGTGTTTGATTAGGGTTGTAGCTAAAATCTGCAGGACACCGGCCCTCCAGGAACAAGTTTGGTGACCACTGACCTAGGTCA